ATCGCTGTTTGCATAATCCTGTTTAAACAGATCTAAAATAAGAACCATAAAGCTAGAACGTTCATTCTTTTAGCAGCAGAAAGCTAAAGCCTCTGTCCTCCCCATTATCACCTCATTACCTTATGTTACCTTACAAATGCAAATGTGGCATTTTGCCGTCATTATGCCAGAATTTCCCTGGGAATTTCCCCATAATGGCTGCGAGGGATCATTATTTGCATAATCCTGTATACACATCAATCTACAATAAGAACCATAATAGCTCGAGCATTCATTCTTTTCACAGCAGAAAGCTAATGCCTCGGTCTTCACCATCACCACACTGTACATTCATAATGACGTCATCACGCTATGTTAAGTGTGGCACAAAATTGCGCAGTGGTGCCAGAGGAATGAGTGATGTATCCATCACAATACCTTTTCACTCTGCTCATAAAAATGAGCATATCTCAAAAATTGATCATAGCATTACTTCAGGCAGGACACGATGTCAAGCTCAGCTCACATCCCAGCTACATCAGCTGATCAAACAGCCAATCAACTGATGGAGCAGCTGATGGATGGAAGGGAGTCAGCTGATAGATCACATGATTCCTTTCTATGCAACCAATTGGATAATCTCATTCATTGCGCACTATTTAAACTGTTCTGGCCTGCCTACTGTTGCTGCTTCCTCTGCAAGCTGCTTTGCAGCCTGCCTCCACCCCAGCTCCTCCTTTTCATGCTGTGTCTGACTTATCAATGTCATTTCTTTTTGTCAGTGATGCTGCTCTGTTCTGCTCCTGGGGGGTCTTTACTGCTGCTCTCCCTGCCTTAGGCTTTCCATGTAGGCACATGGAAGGGCAGAGAGGTTTGCTCTCTCTGCCTCAGGCTTTCTCCATTTACGCATAGAAGGGTGGAGGGGTTTTCTCTACCTGCCTTAGGCTTTCTAAGTAGGCGCATGGAAGGGCAGAGAGTTGTGCTTTTGCAGCCGTAGGCTTTCCATGTAAGTGCATGGAAGGGCAGGGAGGTGCGCTCTCTCCACCTTACGGTTTCTGCGTAGGCTCAAGGAAAGGCAGAGAGGCCCCAGAACAGAGCCATACCGCCAAATATGATACTGCAAATGGAATTTTTTTTTTTTGACTAAAGTGGTCCTTACTGAAACTAAATAATATACATAGTTCAATTAACTTATGGAGTGTTAAAAATATTTTGTTTCTACATTTAGAAATGTTTTGGATTTATTTGTTTTTATTTTAATACTTTTATCAATTGTAATGGTTTATTGACTTATATAATCTTCTAGCTCAGGTTGTACAGATTTTAGGGATATGAATCTTTTTAAGATACTCCAAGAAATGACATCACAATGAGAAAAAAGAATACCAATGTAGGCACTGGCAGACCATTTCTGTTGCAGAGTTCAAAGGGTTAATAGAGGAAATAGTTAAACTAGACAAATCTGTGAGCTGCATATGAAACCACATGTCAAAACTGAGCAAACACCTGTTTTCCATCGTCATCGCTTGGTTGTGTCCTTGTCCACAGCTCATGATGTAATCAGGTGCCTTCCTCCCGAGCTGTCAGTGTGTGTGTGTGACCAAAATAAAAGGACATCTGGCGTTGCTGTGCATCACCGCGGCCTCTTGTGTAATGGAGAAGTTTCTGTCTTTACCTTTCGCCTCATGTTCTCCACTGACGACAGGCAGGGATGTTATCTCTGCCCGGGCCGGAAAACCTTTCCCTGGTAATCACGGCAGGACAATGCTGCTATGTTGAGAAAGCAATAAACATGAGATTGCTTTTCTGTTATCGAGCTGGTGGCACATGAAGGGGATGAATTAGTTATGTGCATTATGTGTTTTGACATTTCAAACCGGGATGGTAAGTGGTTGTGATCGATGGTACCATAGAGACGGAGTGTGTTTGTTGGAGTTTGTCATGTGAGTACAGGCCTGATCAGCGCGAGGATCAACACCGTCTGTTCATGACTAACGGCTGTGGTACTGTTCTGTGCCTGCTGCTGCACACTAGAGACGCCTTTAACCAAAAACAAGGTGTGTACAGTATGCACAGGTGGACAGTATCACACAGCTACCACATGAACAGTGTTTGACCTTTTAATATAGTTGATCATGGTAAGACAAATAATTGATTTTTTTTCAGCCACTTTGGGTCAGTGGAAACGAGCTATAAACACAGAACTGACATAAGGTGGTTATGTCAACCTTATATTTAGCTTATTTACACGACTATTTACTCTCCTTTTAGCTCCGTTTTTGGTCTCCACCAGCTCCTGGAGGAAATATCTGTCTCATCAGATGCATGAACCACCTCAACTGACCTCTTTTGATATGGAGGAGGAGCTCCCGAGCTTGCTCCGGATGTCTGAGTTCCTCACCCTGTCTCTAAGGCTGAGCCCAGCCACCCCACGGAGGAAACTCATTTCAGCCACTTGTATCCGTGACCTCATTCTTTCAGTCACTACCCAGAGCTCATGACCATAGGTGAGAGCTGGGGCGTAGATGGACCAGTAAATCGAAAGCTTTGCCTTCTGGCTCAGCTCCCTCTTCATCATGATGATCTGGCACAGCATTAGCATCACTGAGACACTGCGCCAAACCACCAATCCATCTCACACTCCATTCTCCCCTCACTTGTGAACAAGACACCGAGATACTTGAACTCCCTCATTCGGGGCAGTGACTCACTCCCAATCTGGAGGGGGCAATCCACCAGTTTCCGGCAGAGGCCTCTGACTTGGCCTCTCAAAATCCGCTTGGCAAAGTGAACGTGCATGTCAACAGTCGACAGTGTTAAGATGACAGCGGTGAATCACCTGAAAACCTAAAATGAGTCATGGGCTGTACAGTCCGGTTCATTTGCCACAAACAAACATCTAACAAACTGAATATCCTTTGAATAAGAGATTCATCAGCTTGTTTACTGTGGACTTAAAAAACGTCCCCAAACAGTCTTTTTAAGCATCTTATCTCTTTAATTGGATGTATTTCCTGTAGACGCAGGATGTCAGGGAGAGGCACATCAGATAGCACAACTGTGTCAACCGATGGGATTTCATTTAACAAGAGAAGACATACTTATTTGATGTTGGGGGTATTTTACTAATTAAAAATGTCATTTACACTTCTGATGCAGCTTCCTGCTTTCCAGAAAGGAAAATAAAAATCTTTAGATTTTGAAATGCAAATACAAATGTGCAGCTTATGAATATTTCATTTTGGGGCAAAACCCAAACTTCTGTGAAACTTAAAATCTGTTTTCTGTATATTTCATCCATCATCACTTTTACACTGTGACCGGGGACCCTGTGCCCGCAGGCTTTGTTTTTGTGTGACTGTGATGATGGTGGTGAACACGGTGTTGTCTGACTCAGCAAAGCCTCTGTGTATCGCCGGCTCCTGTTTGAGCACTTTGCACTATGTTCGTCCCTCGACGCTGTCAGAACAACTCTGATGTCTGTTCTTCACCTCACTTACCTCTCTGATGGCTGTTGCATCAGTCCTCTCTGTCCAACATGGAAAAAACAATCACAGTTTTTGGATGACTGCTTCAGTGGTCAGTTTAAAGAAGTAGTGTGAAATTCTGGAAAGTACGATTCTTTAGTTTGTTATTCAGCATATTCACATGAAAGTAGATGCAGCGTCCCAAATTAAATATTACAGAGGCTGTTAGCTTTTGCTTACCAGGCAGAGAGCAGCTCATGGAGCTGGTCCTTAAGGGCTGCTTCAAACAGCTGCAACAACTGATTGGCGGCGATCACCATCACCACCACAAAAATCCAAAATACTCATAAAATTAGGCTCCAACTCTGAGACAGTATCACAAATATTTGTGCAATTTTCACTTGAAAAAAATAAAAATAAATAAAATAATAATGATAATAAAAAACAAAACCATTAAGTAGTGCAAGATGTATCATAGTTTTTTAGAGAAACTGCTGTGAAATTAGGCACTAGTAAATTGATGCCTTATTACAGCACAGAGCTGTCTTGGTTGCTGTCTTTTATGAACATTGTCTTCTACTGCTTTGCATTCTGTAATATTTCACCAGAAACAGTATGTATTCAACGTACTCTTTGTTTTATACTAAGGTTTTGGACACACTAAAAAAATCTCACATACTATACAGGCCTAGGCGGCACAGTGGTGCAGTGGCTAGCACTGTTGCCTCACGGCCAGAAGGTTCCTGGTTCAAACCCAAGGAAGGGGATCCCCTCCATGTGGTGCTCCGTGTCAGCATGGGTTTTCTCCAGGTCTTTGCGGCTCTGGTTGTCTGTCTCTATGTGTCTGGTGACCTGTCCAGGGTGTACCCTGCCTCTCGCGCAGTGTCAGCAGGGATAGGCTCCAGCCCCTCTGAGACCACCAACAGGTTAAGCGGTTACGGAAAATAAATGAATGATTGTTTCAGCCCTCTAAACAAGGGCGTGAGTTTCATGTCAACATTTGGGGAACATATATAACGCTAGGAGTTTTGGGTCCTCCTCCAGGAAATTTTAAGCATCAAACACTTAATTTCTCTGCTTCAACTTTTTCCTCATCTTCATCAGTTTATAGTGGAAATGTCTTGAGTTTTGTCAAAGTAAAAGTCCCCTGCTTCTTCCATCTTTTGATCTGAATGTTGCTCTAAATATTGAGGGGTACGTGCCCCATGTGTCCCCCTGAAATCTCTGCCTGTTAGTTCAGAATTTCGAAGCAGGAAGTAACCAGTGTCAATTAAAGTCTTTGCAAGGACGTGATGTTTCCCAAAATGTCAGTGTCATGCCTTTAATTAATGATGCACAGTCACCACATTATCAGCCTGTGCTCAGTAGATCATTGGTGTACCTTGCGAACATGGGAGGATAATTAAAGTAATTGTGGGCCAAATACATTGAGGTACATTGACTTTTAGTGAACCTCACAAAACTTGGTTAGTGCCTCCAGGCTGACCTTTGTGTAACTTCCTATCAGTTCTGTGAAACCAAATTAACCCAAATGATGTCTGTGCTGTTTTCCAGGCTGTATGCTGTGTTTCGGCCAGTCGGCCTTCTTCCGCTTCAACCACCCTGAAGAAGCCTTCAGGATGAAGAGCATGGTGCCCCAGGGAGGAAGTGTCTCCTCCGGGGACTACAGACTATGTCCAGGTACTGTACCATCATGCACCCTCATATTACACCCACTCAGTATTTAACTGTATTTTCAGCCTGTTTTCACTTGGCAGCTCCACCTTTAACACGTCAGGGTTTCCTTTTGCCACAAACATGAGCCCAGGGTGAAAACAAGCACACTGACCTTTTGTCACATGAATAATGAAGCCTAAAAAGACAGTTTCCCTCCCGGAGTTCCAGTTTCAGCTCGGCCTGTGTGAATGAATGGGCTGGATTGTTGCAGAGCCCATCAGGCGGGTGTTGAGGTGGAGCAGCAGGGCAGTGTGTTTTACAGGTGGATGTTTGCACAGCAGTAAACCGCCAGCATTCTTGCCTTTTTATAGTCTGGCAAAGGCAGAGGAAGTGTACAAGCACAAGCTTATTCATTTGGAGATGCACAGTAATGGTCAATACATGGCTTTAATAATAGGAACAATAATAACCTGCAATGCAATTTGATTTTCTTTGCAGATTTTGTTTTTATTCGTTGTTTCTTCCTGCTTTAAAGATGATAAGTTTCCACTGCTAGAGCTGTAAATCCACTTTTCTAAGCTGACAAAAGAACTATTATGTGCAAAATAAAAACTTCTTATTACTTGTAGGCCCTACAAAGGTCATATTTGAACATAACTATGTCAAATAAAAGGCATGACCTGCCCAGAAAACCTGTTTGCAGCTCTGTTACAACAGCCTTGTTGTCAGTATCAGCCTTTAAAATGCAGTACCCGTTGAACCCTGCAGCCTGAACGGTGCCCAGCTGGGACCTGGTGCTGGAGTTCACACCATGCATGTTTTATGAGCATCTCATTCCTCTGCGTCTCCAGGCAGAGTTTTCAGCTGCTTGCATGTTTGTGTATGTGTGTGTATGTGCATGTTGAGTGCTCCTCCTGGCAGCCGCACAACTGTAAGTGTACCTTTTCTTGGCCGGCTCTACTACCAGGGATCTGTCATAGCATCTTGTCATTTCCCTCCTTTAACCGTTGACGCTGCCTGCCACTGGGGGAACATGTAAGTATAGGACACAGTCACGCTGGCTGCCGTGGACCTCCTGATCCAGTAATGAAAGCCTTCCGTTGTTTAGAAACGTGTCATTTTCCTCAATTATGCATTCCTGAGTTGCTTATACCACTCCCATGATTATCTTGGCATATCTGACATATCTAAATAGTTGGAAGCGCTTTGAAATCACACTCCTTATCTTATAGTACTGGGTCTATTATGGAGGGCAAACCCAGCTAAACCAAAGAGCCCTACTGTTTAATAAGGATGTACATTTTCCAGCTTTCCTGTCAGAAATTGTTTTTAAAAAAAGAAACTAATTTAGAGTACTATGGTTGGTCTGTGCTGCGAGGCCCCAAACCATACTATTGCTCCCTTAAAATACCTGACTGTACAGAAGCTTGTCACTGTGGTAGCACCATAGATGTATTAAAGGAACACTTCACTTCCCAAGTGACCATTTGTATATCAGTTATTCAGCCTATGTTACATTGAATTCATTAGGAAAACTTAATGAATGAAGGTGAACGAAGAATCCAAAAAATGGAGAAAAGTCTCGATGAATTGAAGTGATAGGGGTCCACGTCTAACAGCAGCAAAACTACATCAAAACATTTGTTCTCAAACACTCACACTACTCCTGCAGAATAATCTGAGTCTCTTTTATCCATTTGTATGCTCAGTACCTCCCAAACAGACCTTTCCAGCAGGGAGCTGAACTGAAAGTGAAACTTACCTGTGCTCTCTTCAAACCAGACTCCATTGACAAAAACATTAATTTAAGCCTCAAGGAACACAGGAGCTGCTGGTCTACCTCTGCCTCGTTTAGTTAGTTTGCTTGTGTCATTGTGTGATTTTGGTGAATCTGAACCAACCCTTTAAAACACCAAAGTCACACCATAACACAAACAAGCTACAGATCAGGGCAGTGGTAGACCAGCAGCTCCTGTGTTCAGCAGGCTAAAATTACTGTTTTTGTAAATGGGGTCTGGCTTTGAAGAGAGCATAGATACGCTTCACTTTTAGTTCAGTTCCCTGTCAGAAAGGGCTGTCTCTTTGGGAAGTACTGAGCCTACGACTGGATAAATGAGACTTGGATTATATTGAATCAGTTGTGTGAGAGTATAAATGGATGTTTTGATATAGTTTTCACCCCTATGACTTCAATCTATCAGGAATTTTCTCTATTTTTGGATTCTTCAGTCACAGTGGAGAAATGCGACTGATTCAACATCACAGTTGATGAGTAATTGATATACAAATGGTTATTTGGGGGGTGAAGTGAAGTATTCTCCTTTATCCTTTAAGCAAACTGGACCGCATCCATGAACATGTTCCAATGAAAGCTGCTCACTGGGCTAAACAGGGAAAAGAGTCCTTCTCTGGCTGAGCCCTCCGGCCCCACACACAAGGTTGAAGCGTTGGCCCGGCTCTATTCCTTGAGGACTGAGCAGTACCCTGTAAAAGCACAACTCAGAACACTTTCTTCCAACACAACTTTTATACCTCCATAATTGCAGTATAACTTTCCACAAGAACCACAACGTACCTATAAATGATGGAGTAATTATTAGGGAATGAGAAACTCTACCTACCTGTATTTATTCAGTTGAAATGAAATGACCCATGCCTCGTCCTGGCCCCGGGAGGATGTGTGGATATAAAGGAGAGTGGAGACAGACTGGTCCACAGTACCTTAACAAAGATCGGATCCCTCACTGGCTTCCCTCCACCTGCCTTTGCTGACTCTATTATTTAACATAATGCAGTCTTGGGTTTTGGACCGTTGGTTGGAAGAACGTAGCAATTTGAAGACGTCACTTTGGACCCATGAAAATTATGATGAGCATTTTTCACAATTTTTTGACATTTTATAGATAAAGAAATTAATCGTGAAAATCATCTGCAGATTAACTGATTATAGAAATAATTGTTAGTTGCAGCTAGGGCTGCCTCCGACTAAGAATTTAAGTGTTAAACACTGTAGCATAATGCACATTCTGTTTTTGTTTTTATTTTTGATGCAAATTTTAATTTAATTTAATTTAATTTAATTTTGGTTTATTTTGGTTTATTTTATTTTATTTAGGTTTATTTTGGTTTATTTTATTTTAGTTTATTTAGGTTTATTTTATATCATATTATTACTTTATATTTAAAAAAAAAAAAAAAAAAAAAAAGATGTGTTATGTTCGGACCTTAATTGCATTGCGACAAACAGCCTAATTAATTCCAATCAGATGTGTAAGAATAAAGTATCATAAGTGGCTTTTGATCAGCTTTAAATATATTCTGTGTCGTTACGGCTGCTATAAAGTTACACACCTACTGTCATGAGGTCACGTTATTATGTCATCATGTGAGCCAGTTATTATAAATTGTACAAATTAAGTATAAAATGTCCTCGTCCTGTGTTTCTGTTTTTGAAACGCTGCAGTGCTACTGTATCTTTATGATGCCGCTCACACTCACCTGACTGTTGTTCAGTTTTGGCGAGCGTTGCCAGGTCGGTGACGGTCCACTGACCAGCTGTCTTTATGCAGCCGTCTTTCATCTACCTCCTCACTGATTGGACACTTCCTGTGTCCCTCTGCCCGGCCAGCAGACGACATTGTGCCTCTGAGCTGCTTACTTAAAGCGGCCGTCGGCTGGAGTTACAGTATCTCTTTCAGAGACTATTTATAAATCTCCAGTTCCATTCGACTGTCTCTGCACCCTCCCTCCCTCCCTCGCTCCCCGGGTTTCCCCTCCGGTCCCTTCCTGCACCCACCCACCGTCCCTCTGTGTTGGAGCCTCCCTTTCTTTATAAAAGGCCTTTATCTCCCTGTGATTTGGCTGCTGGGTCGCTCACTGGCTGCTTGACAGTCTGTGCTGGCTGAAGGCATGGCTGAATGCTCATGATGCAGTTATTATGGTCGAACCATGGCACGACCACATGTTGAATCTCTGATGTTCAAATGTTTTGCAGTAAAAAACAAACGTCCGTCAGTGAAATAGGACTGGACAACTTTGGAGAACAAACAGAGAAGGTTTTGCCAGTGAAGCCAGTCTGCACCTCTGTCCTGCCCCTTCATTTCCATCTCCAAACCAGATAGAGCCCACATTTCCATCCCTGAGGAAAGTCTCTCTTTTCCTTGAATATTTCACCACAGTGTATCAGTGAGGTCTGCGCTGAGTGATTTGTGTGGAAAAGTTAAGCCAGAAAACCTTAAACACACACAGCCTATAAATAAGTGTAATTTCTACTTAACCCTTCCAATGTTTTTTGTTTTAACAAACTCTACACCACCTATATCTCAGGTAACTAGACTTGCTTCAGTTACATGAAGACGTTTCACCTCTCATCCAGGAGGCTTTTCAGTTCTTTAGTGAAGAACTGTCAGCAGATAAACAGAGATCTGTGTGGGTACATGAGACCCTAAAAAAGAGGCTGGATCATGGGGAGTACCACCAGTGGGTCCAGGAGCTTCTCCTCCATGATGGCTGCTTCCAGGCGTATTTTAGGATGACTCAGGGGCAGTTTGACAACCTGCTGTCTATCGTCGGGCCAGATATCTCTGGGTATCCAGCAACTGCTACCACCAGTTTCTCCTCTATTGTTTACCAACTGTTAACTTGTTGTCGTGACCACCACAGAAGGCCCACCTCTCAAATCATCTGATTGGAGAATGGGAAAAAAGTGGAGATGATGTGGGGCGCTTTTCCACTCTGAGTTGAAGTGTTTACAGCTGAGGAGTTCAGAGCACTCCGGCAAAAACGCCAGGTGCCTAGAGCGCAGAAAAGTGAGTCGCGTCACAACGCAAAAACTGGCAGTTCATTCTCATTACAAACAATTAGAAAAGCCGCCTCCAGCTGCTAAAACACCTTCTGTGTGATTGAGGCCTGAAGCAGCATAACATGGAAATACTCAAGTACAAATTTTAATGATAGCAGTTGCAAAGGATTCTTATTTAATGTAACCGGTGGACTCTGATCTCCGTTTATTCCTGAAAATTCTGACAGTTAGAGGTAAAACCAAAATCCTCCGTCAAATACGACCACGGAGTACAACAGCAAATGGGGAGAAGCAAGGTGGGAGACACCCCTTTATAGGTGGGTACCCCCCAAAGGTGAATGTAGGGGTGCAGAAACTGAGTATCAAACGTTCCACATATTGGCTATGGAGGCCTGAGCATGTCAGGTAATAACAACTGAAACATATTTGTGTAATTACCTATGTAAATACTTGATATTACAAATGGCAATTTGACTTTGTTGCACGAATTACTGCTGTATATCTGACCCTGTTACATCTACTCAATGCTTGTCATTAACAACTACTAATAGTCTTTAACATCACAATTCATAAATCATCTGGAAAATAAGATTTAAAGATAGTTTTAAGGGTAAATAAGGTGCTAAAATGCATTAAAAAAAGCATTAAATAGGGCATGTTCATTAAAAATGAATAGATAAATAAAAACTCAGAGTGAGGATCCCCCCACAGAGGTCTGGGCTCAGCCCCTGATGCCCTCAAATCCTAGAAACACACCTTGTATGGAAAATTACAGTTTATTTAAAGGGATTAACTTCCATCAGAAACTCTCTCTCACCTCAGAGGTTGTGCCACTCTGGTAATCAGACCTAATTACAAAAAGCTGGCCTAAAAATTGTCACTGGATAATAACAGTCTGTAGGCCTGTCCATTTTAATGGCACAATAATCCAATTTATCCACTATTTTTTTTATTTAATGTCAGTAAAATATGACCATAGGGCCTCAGATTGTTGTCCAGATGTGTAATTTGTTGATGCTGTCTCATCTCAAACTGACATAATTTGCATTATAGAGACAATAACAATGACAAAGCCATAAAACCCACTGCTGTGACTCTGTAAAACAGCGCTGTAAATCTCGCAGTAGTTCACATCACCCTGGAAAGGAAGCGCTGTGTCAAGGCGGGCATGTTGCCGGAAGTGGGGCGATTTCACCTTCAAATTAAAATAAATGTCTCATATGAGGAGAACTAGAACTAGAACTAGATGTGTTTCTAGGCGTGTGGTCACATGTATGAAAGTAAGTGCACGTTAAATGGACTTTATGATGTATTTTACGATGACGACACAAAGTATTGTACACGTGAATTTAAAGTGACTTTTATTTTGAAGGACATGACCGGTAAAGCGGTGTCACAGTTTAAGTGGCTTGACGGAAGTGGTACCGTAGGCAGCAGCGGTGCCGAGCGCCTCAACCCCCGGCTGAAATATCACCTCGGTGGTGAATCTCCGTATCTCCCTCGGTGTGTGTGGTGCCAGGCACGACAGGGCTCCGTCACACCCGGTGTTGTAGCCGGTGTCCGGAGGATGTGGGCCTCAGTGTGTGTCATGTAGCAGGTGAACCGCACTGAAACTGACCGGGTCGCAGTTTTATTCCATCATGTGAGTAACCCTACTGCTTAATGCCTGAGCTTTGGGCAGGAGAAGTGATACGAACCGATCACACGCCAGACTCCATTAAAAAATCTGCCGGTTTTAGGTTCGTTTGCTTTTCTGGGAAAATCCTCACAGCGTAGGACATCCTTGAATACCTTATGCGATTCACTGGGATCTCATTATGTATTCGGCATACAGGTGGTCCATAAATATGCAGTCATTTGAAAAAATAATCACATTTCTTCTGCTTGGATCACAGTGTATCTTGAAGAAGGGATATTCAGGCAATGACAGATGATTTAAGCGTATGTTTCAGCAAGTAAAGCTTAATGACGATGGAAGTGATGCCGAATTGTAGAGGTCATCACATGTCAGGAGATGTCGTAGTGGTGGTGTATGAAACACGCAGATTCACCGGCAGTTAGGCTAACATTAATAAATAATCAGATTTTTAAATGAAGTTTGGCATGGTGCACTCGAGGCGATAGTCTTTATCCCATGACATCATTGCACGGGCTTTCCCTCAGCAAACGGTTGCTTTTATTTTTGTCACCCCACCCCCCCTCGTTTTTCACTCTGTACATAAAAATCAAGCCGGTTTGTTGCCTGTGAGACACGATGTGACTTTGACATTCACGCGTTGCACAACGGTAATAGCTGTTACTGTGACAGCTGCACACCCCAGTGCTGCAGAAATCTGCATGTAAATATAATCAGATTTAATTGTGGTCAGGCTGTCATAAAGGAAGAGCTTCATTGTATGGCAGAGTCATTATAGGGGAGCAGGCAGGAAGCTGCTCCCATCTCTGTTGAACAAGCCCAGCTAATGCATTATTTGTGGAGCTTCTATATTTCAGAGCAGTTTTGCTATTGGGACATCTCCCCGTGACATCATCTCTACAGAGAGACAAATCTGACTCCTGTGTCATACTGCTCTGTGTGTCATTACCCTCTGTCATCTTGTATGATTTGTAATGTTATTACATCAATATTGACATGACGGCTCTATCCTCCTGTTGTCCTCTGTTACTTCAGTGTTTGCACTAATGACTCCACGCTACAATTATCCTCATGTTGCCATTTAACCACACAACAAGTCCATTTAAACAGATTTCATTTAGCATTAATAAAACCTGATCTGTGCTCTGATCCCTGCCTCGAGGCCACGCTGCTGAAGCTCCCACGTGGCCGTGCGTTTCTGTTGTAATAATCTACTATACTGACATTAGAGAGAGGCGGTTAAGATTAGATTACCCGGTCCGTGTCCTATGTTGCTTTCGGGCCGCGCAATAATTGGGTTATGTAGGCACATTTTCTCCTGATCCCTATCCAATGCACAGGCCTGTCTGTCTGCTCATCTCCTTGGCTGTGTCCTTCCCTCTTCCCTCACCACTAATCCATCCTCTTTCCTCATGTTTACCTGTTTGCATGGCTCCTACTCTTAGAGGGACACAATGGTGATGGTTTTGACATATCTAGTATGGACGGGGCTGCAGTTTGACATGCAGGTTCTTTAATATCATGACATTTAAGGAAATCTGGAGAGGTCAGGTACTTTTGGAGTGTATCTGCTGAATCGTCTTCCATCAGGTGTTGTTCAGCCTGCCTGGATGGGAATCTATTGCACGTCTGTCCGTCCCTTTCAGTTGCTCTTCCTGAGGTTTCTACCACATTTTTCTCCATTAAAGGGGTTTATTTGGGGAGTTTTTCCTTATCTGCTGTGAGGGTCCAAGGACAGAGGGATGTCATGTACTCAAAAGCCCTTGTGATTTGTGATATTGGGCTTTATAAATAAAACTGAATTGATATTTTCTGCACTGAAACCTAACCAACCCAGGAAGGAAAGAACATTTTGTGTCATGAAATCACCTCAAATTAGTTCTGGAAAGTCATGAAGAAGTCATCGAGGCTACTGCGTTCACCCTGTGAGGACAGATAAGTTCAGACAATGGGCAGAATTTCGTTGCCCTGTTTTATCACCGTCTTGACTGCTTCTATTGCTCAGGGAAAGTCTGGTAAGATTAGGCCATTCAGCAGACTTGTATGACACCTTATCACAGATATTATTAGATAATCCATAGATAATACTGTATTACACTCTTAGAGTAAGAGTCTTGAAGGTAGAACTGTGAGAAAGCTTTTTTTTCTGACAAGAAAGACAAGGAATTACCTAGCCTGTTGTTCAATAAACTTAATGTAGCCCGCCACACAGTATTGGTTAATCAAGCAAGAATCAAGGAACTATGCAGGTGGAACTAATTTGTTCTCTAAAACAGACAGTAAACATGCAAACCAACACTCACCTTACAGCAGACCTGTTGGGTAGCACAGGGTGTCTACGGGTCCTTAAAAAGTCTTAAGATGTTTTAAATTCCATGTCCATTAAATAGTCTCAAATTTGAATTTGTGAAGTCTGAACTACTACGAACATTTTATCTAATTCCATTTATCCATTTTTTTTGGAACAGTGATGTAAAACTCCACATTATTTCATACCTGTTGGCAAAATGTAGACTGACTTAATTCACTCCAATAACCATTTTCCTACATAACACTTACCTCTGCACAAGACCACATGCCTGTATATACTACAGGAGGAGGTGCGCATTAATAATCCTCCAGGACTGTAACATGCTCATGTTTAACCCGAACAATGTGTCATGTGACTGCAGTTGGTTCAGATCCAGGTTGGAACACGCTCTCACCACAAACCAACCGCACCAGAGTTTGTTTGTAACCAGACTGAGACCACCTCTTCAAGAAGGTCTCGGTCTGGTTGTTTTGGTGCGCATCTGAGTGTGATTGCTGTGTTCACACCTGCACAAAGGAACCACACTGAGGGGGCAAATGAACTTGAGTTTGAGTTTGATTGAACTGAAGCAAACAGGTGTGACAACATCCTTAGACTCTGAATCCCAACTTTGTTGCACAACAGACTAAACGTAACCATATTCCAGTTTGTGCCCATTGTGTTGTGTAGGATGAACCCCGATGACAGTTGTTCTTTCTTCTTTCCCTCAGACACAGAGAGCTTGGTCAATGGGAATCACCAGGCCAGTCCCGCCCAGTCTCCCCCAGCTCCTGGAGATAAAGTCCAGTCTGAGCACAGTGCAATTGTCAGCTCTATTGAGAAGGACCTCCAGGACATCATGGACTCCCTAGTCATGGATGACCCTCAGCCTTCTTCCTCGGAGGGCAAAAAGCCTCCTGGAGGCATTCCCCACTCCCCGCTGTCGCCCATGGTCAATGGAGGGGGCCGGTATCTGCTGTCCCCTCCTACCAGCCCAGGGGCCATGTCCGTGGGGTCCAGCTATGAGAATACATCGCCACCCTTCTCTCCCCTCTCCTCCCCATCAGCGGCCAGCAGTGGGAGCTTTACAAGCCCGTCTCCTAGTGGAGGACCCCAGGACCAGAGTTCTTCTCTGCCGCCAGTGCCTGTACGCTCCTCTAGCTACAACTTCACCACCCAGCCTCCACCTGTACCCCAGCCACGGACCATACTGCCTAACTTCAGCAGCGGTGGGGCGGGCCAGAAGGTTCAGGAAAGCCCCAGGCTGCAGAGGAAGGTCTTAACAGAGGCCCCTCCAAGCCCTAAGCCAAGCCGCAGAGGACTAGGCCAAGATGGGTCTGAGAGCCCCCGACAGACTCCTTTGTCCTCTTGTGAATCTCTCAGTAGTAGAAACATTGTGCCAAGTAGCCCCAGACTCACTCCCAAATTCCCTTCCTGTCCATCCCCGTCTCCCTCCAGTCCCAGGACCAAGGCAGCCACAGTGCTGCAGGAAAGGCCTGCCAGCCCTTTCAGAGAACAGACCAGTCTAGCTGATTGCCCCCTAAACTCCAGCCCCTCCAGGCAGCTTTCTCAACCCACCAGAGCCTTCCAGCCTCCCCTGGACCCCATCGTCCACATCATCCAAGGATCGCCGCTCCAGCAGCATTCACGTTCGCTGCAGCCCCCTGAGAGCCCTCGCATGGCCAGGAGAAACATGGAGCTCAACGGTGGCGGTGGAGGTGTCAGCAGTATGAGAGAGCTGCCCCCTCTTAGCCCCTCCATGGCTCGAAGAGGGGTCCCGGTACTCCCAGGGGCACTCCCAGGGACTATCCCTTCCTTGAGGACTCCAGATAGCCCCTCAGGTCTGAGCAAGCTTATCCCAGAGAGTCCCAGGCTTCGACGCAAGACCGGATCTATGTCCGAGGAGCCGACGTGCAGCAGGGGGATCCGAGACCGCAGTCCGTCGCCTACCTCTATGATGATGGAGGGCGGTGGTGGTGCGGGAGCACGTAAGGCGAGTTTTGGGAATTCCCTGTCACCTGCTTACAGTCTGGGCTCCCTGCCTGGCTCGTCCCCCGTGGCCAGCCCGAGGACCCACAGGAAGATGTCCGCAGGGAGACCCCACCCTGGAATGAGGGAGAGGAAGAACAGCATCACAGAGATTAGTGACAATGAGGACGAGCTGCTGGAGTACCACCGACGACAGAGAGAGGAGAGGCTTCGAGAGCAGGAAATGGAGAGACTGGTGAGTCAGGAACACACGTCAGAAGGAAACTACTCTTATTTAGTTTACATTTTAAAAGAACACATTTCACTCATGTACCTGGTTCACCATTCTGACTGAAAGGTTAAAGCAGATTTACTTGATACGTCACAGGGTTTGAGCACATTTCATGACTACAGTATTACTGAAGAGCTGTTTTATACCTGACGGCTAATCTTAATCCTGTCAGGGTTTTTAAGGTTTAGGCAGATATCGCAACACTCATATCACCGTTTCACTCAAGGTGGTTTTCAGATCAATCTTTCGAATAGAGCTGTGACCTGTGATTATTTTTTTCATCTATGAATCGAGGTCGGAACACATTCTCACCACAAATGAACCGCAACATCGTTCGTTTGTAACCAGACTGAAACCACCTCTTCAAGAAGGTCTCGGTCCGGTTGTTTTGGTGTGCACCTGAGTGTGATTGCTGTGTTCACACCTGGTTAAACAACCTGCACTTAGGGGGCAAAGGAACTTGAGTTTGATTGAACCGAACCAAACAGGGCAGGTCTGAAAGCACTCCTAGTCAAGTGGAGTAGTCCAAGTTTAAACTTTTGTTTAAACATCAGGGAAATGAGGTGTTGCGAACATCCCTTCTAGAGACCAAGGCAAAACCTTTTAGTTGCTTGTTTTTGTCCTGATATATGACTTACTGTAAACTATTATTCGACTGCCTTGCTCTCTGATTATTTTATTTTAATCATCAAATGGTTTCAGTGCTACTTGGAAAGTTAACCCACAATTACACCTCCTATGTTCCCCGAAAAGCCTGAGTTTTCTTGTTAAAATTAATCTGTTGAAATAAGTTTAACACAGAATTCTGATCAGTTATAAAGGTAATATAATTTTATATTTAGTTTGACTTCAGTGTGATGTGAGAGGATCTTACTGAAGATCTTTGACATGTCAGAAACTGGCCTCCAGCACCTTGTAACCTATCTAAAAGAATTTCATTGGTATGATTATGACCAGAATTGATGAAATGTTGTGAATATTCCTCCAGAGGCTCGGTCTAACTTTAATCTGTATGACCTCCTGGAGGAGCGGACTGCGACAACTGTATGACTCCATGTCTTTTTGGTAAAGGAGGAGTAACCAGGCCCGTAAACCGTCTCAGTGAACTGTCTGTAACTTGGCTGTCGGCTGTCTAAACTGCTGCTGACGTGCAGTCTCGGGGCACCCAGATGAGCCCATAGCAACCACACTGTTTGTTGTTTCCTAAACTGAACGGGAGGGGGGGGGGGGGGGGGGGGGGGGGGGGGGGGGGGGGTGTAGGGAGGGAGGGAGGGAGCGGCGTTAGACATCTTGAACTTGTCTGCCAGTCTGAATGAAACCACTGAGACAAAGTCCTTTTAAAGGCCTTTATATGTGTTTGTGCCTGCGTGAGGAGACGTTTGTCTGCTCCGCTTGTAATTACAAAATGGGTGTTTTTTAAAGTGTGAGGCTGAGTGAAGGCAGCTCGGCTGGATAGACTGAGACGACGTGCCCTCTGTCTCTGTGAACCAGGTCCTGTTCTGGTGCCTCCTATAGAGCCATGGCAGTAAAACAGTGTGTCGGTAGCGCCTCATTCACACAATGAGACTGCGTTTAACCCTTAAGAGTGAGGAGGGCAGCGCTGAGTGCTACAAGACCAGACAGAGAGCCACTCAAGTTACTGATGTCATCAAGAGAGGCCGGTCTGTAGATCAAAATGAACACAACAGCTATTTTGTTTCCTCGGACATTAGCATGATTTATTATTTATAAGATGCTAGTCAGTGTCAGGAGGATATACAGATATAGAGAGGCAAAGTGAACCTGGTCCTGAGTTGACATTGGTTGTTATGGTCGGATTTAGATCAGGTTATGGTAAGGCATTACAGAGATATCCTGGGGTTAGGGTTAGGGTACCCTCGGGTAACAATTATTCTATTTTGATAATCAAATAATCATTTCCGTCATTTTTTTAAGCTAAAAAGCCAAATATTTGCTGGTTTCATGATTCTTAAATGTGAGAATTTGATGCTTTTCTTTGTCGTACTTGATAAACTGATTAGCTTTAGATTTTTGGACTTTTGGCCAAATGAAAAAATACCATTTGAAGAAATCACACAGGGCATATTTCACTGTTTTGTGGCATTTTATTGACAAAATTATTATTGATTAATTAAGAAAGCAGTGGGCAGATCATTCGACAATGAAAATATTTAGTTGCAGCCCTTCCTGTACATTTCTCTGTGATTCTGTACTGGGGAACAATCAAAGGTTCATTTCTTCGTAGGTATTTTTGTTATCCAACAGATGTCTGCTGTCTGCCCAGAATGATAAATACTTTGCCCAGAAATGTTGGATTTAAACGCTGGCTTCACCCCGAGAACACATGCTATCATTCTGGGCAGATAGTCGACATCTGTGATCCTGAGAATACCTTTTGAAGATACAACCTGCTGCTGCTGCTGCGTAACAGGTAAAATATTTACATTTGGACTTCTCCCCTTGGAACTGAGTGAGCAAATCAAGGAGTAATGGACAAAGTATAACATCAGTACTTCAGCTTCGGTTTCAGATGTAAAAGAAAGAAACCTCACACTCACATTTGTAACAGTGAAATTAGTAAAAATCCAATCCTCCAACATACAACTTCAACTTCATGTACACTCACTGGCCACTTTATTAGGTACACCTTGCTGGTACCAGGTTGGACCCCCTTCTTAATTCTTGGTGTCACAGATTCAACAAGGTGCTGCAAACATTCCTCAGAGATGTTGGTCCATATTGACATGATGACATCACACAGTTGCTGCAGATTTGTCGGCTGCACATCCATGATGAGAATCTCCCGTTCCAGCACATCCCAAAGGTGCTCTATTGGACTGAGATCTGGTGACTGTGGAGGCCATTGGAGTACAGTGAACTCATTGTCATGTTTGAGATGATGTGAGCTTTGTGACATGGTGCGTTTACGTTTTCACAATCTTCTGTTGTCCAGTTTTGGTGAGAAAACCCGTGTGAATTGTAGCCTCAGTTTCCTGTTGTTAGCTGACAGGAGTGGCACCTGGTGTGGTCTTCTGCTGCTGTAGCCCATCTGCTTCAAGGTTGGACAAGGTGTTGTTGCTTCAGAGATGCTCTTCTGCACACCTTGGCTGGAACCAGTGCTTATTTGACTTCCTGTTGCCTTTCTATCATCTTGAACCAGTCTGGCCATTCTCCTCTGACCTCTGGCATCAACAAGGCATTTTGGCTCACTGGATATTTTCTCTTTTTGGGACCATCCTCTGTAAACCCTAGAGATGGTTGTGCTGAAAATCCCAGTAAATACTCAGAGCAGCCCGTTTGGCACCAACAACCATGCCATGTTCAAAGTCACTTCAATCACCTTTCTTCATCATTCTCATGCTCCGTTTGAACTTCAGCAGCTCGTCTTCACCATGTCTACATGACTAAATGCATTGAGCTGCTGCCACGTGATTGGCTGAGTAGATATTTGTGCAAACGAGCAGTTAAACAGGTGTACCTAATTAAGTGCCTGGTAAGTGTATATAATATTGCGCTGGTAAATCTTTAACTGTCAGTTTAAAGGCAGCAACTTACACCTCAACTTGTGAATAGGTGTGTTTGGTTACACTACAAACTAACCTAAAGGAATGTCACCAGGATGGGTTCAGGAAAAAGTCACTGACAAGCTCTTCACCCTCACAACAGTAACACTCTACATGATATATAATACAGGCTATTTGCACCTCTGTTAGCCTCATCATAGCCCAATCAGTCAAACCCGAAATCTTTTGATCTCTTTGAAGGGTTATCAGCCACAACCACCTTTGGACCAGAACAACTTACAGACACACAAAGAACAATATTGACATTAGATTGTGTACATAGCTCATGGCACATAAGGTCAAGAACGCGCTTATGTCCAGTAAATAGAGACGTCCAGGGACGAGGGAGGACCGCCGGGGACACAGAGGCAGGATTCCTCAGCAGCCTGTGATGTTATTGTATTTTTCGAAGGCAGAAACTCTCAGCTCTTTGAGGAGGCAGGGCGTGGAGCTGCAGGGCCTGTAATTAGTCACAGTTGACTCACTGTCATGACAGATTTTTCTTGCCCCAGAGCATCTGCATTTAAATCATTTCACACACAGCCTGCTACTCATTCACACAACTGATTACCAGAAAACAAAGTTATGTGAACAGCGAGTGTCGGAGAGGTTTATTCAGGAAAAAGAGTGTTATTGTGAAATCAACAGGAGTACACAGCTCAGAGGCAGCGGGAGGCTGCTGGCAGACTGCAGCTACTCACACACACTGATACACTGATGCAGATCGGGCTGGTATCGGACTTGGAATGGGTTTTGGCCTGTTGGTGTTGTTTAAATGCTGTTTAATTACATTGTATAATTGATTAATACCCCATCTGGTATGAAGGGCTCGTTGTGAAATATTTATGGTGAAGTATTGAGGCTTCTTCAAACCAATTAGTGGAAATCTTTGGGAAATACTGAACATTACTAACGACATCTGGTTTCATGATATTGGATATTAGCAAAGATGTGGATATGGTAGCTTCAGTCCAGTTTGAAACCTCACAAAGGTCAAACCATGTCCAATTACAATAGTTATTTCTTAGTAGGGGGCGGCACGGTGGTGCAGTTGTCAGCATTGGGGAGAGCTTGCAGCCCTTATGTGTGGATTTTGCATGTTCTCCCTGTGTCAGCGTGGGTTTCCTCCAGGTGCTCCAGCTTCCTCCCACAGTCCAAAGACATGCAGGTTAATTGGTGACTCTAAATTGTCCGTAGGTGTGAATGTGAGTGTGAATGGTTGTCTGTCTCTATGTGTCAGCCCTGTGATAGTCTGGTGACCTGTCCAGGGTGAACCCTGCCTCTCACCCAGTGTCAGTTGGGATAGACCCCCACGACCCCCAACAGGAGAAGCAGTTATGGAAAATGGGGCTGGGCCGTATATCAACAGCATAATGTGAGACTAGATATCATCTTCGATTT